GGTTTTTTTTTTTTTTTTTGGTCTTCCTCCTTCTTGGTTTTGAAATCCTGATACGAGGAACAGTGTGACTATTTCATCGTACACGAAGGCGTGGAGCCTGCCTACATTACAGAAGGATGTCTGACTCTCCAGAGTTTGGCTTCTACGCTTCTCCTTGAGTCTTGCTGTCAGTCTGCACGGTGGCAGCTGCTGTAAGTCACAATGTCATCTGGTCCTTCCTCCCACCTCTTATATAAAATTCTTCTTTAAAAAGTTGTTACTTATAAAGAAGGAATGTTTTCTAGGCTTGACAGCATCACAGAATAAAATTTTGATCAACTAATTTTCTCCAGCATTTTAGTTCTGCTTTACAGTGAAGGCGAACCCAGGCTGAACCTTTGGGATTGGTGAAGTGTGCCATTTCCTGACAACTACAGTGAACCCCGCCAGCCCTAGCCTTCTGAACCTGTGAGGGGAATAGATGTACACCTCTGGGGGTCTTGTCTGAGATATGAGAAAAGGAAGACTTTAGGATGACAGAGATCATTTTCCTAGGGATGGTTCTGGATTGTTCCATTGACAAGGTTTATTCTGAGCTAGTGTAGCTCAATCTGAAAATCCTCAAAGAAAGAAAGAAGCCGTGGCTGGAGCAGAAATAGTTTGTCTGTTCCTAGGCTACATTAATCTTGTGCCAACATGTAGAGAGTGCAGAGGGTGAAAGGTCACCGGAAGCCAGAGCACAGCATCCGCATCTGTACCTTTTAACATCTTCACAGCCACAGTCCGGCAGGTGGGCGACTTCTTAATGCCGAATGCAGATGCTTGGACCACTTTCCCAAAGGCCCCTCTGCCGAGCGATTTGCCTACAATAGAAGAAGGTCTTGGTTTGTTTGCAAAGCCAACCGCGAGTCTGAGTCCTTTCCAGGAAGGAAATGCCGTGTTGTACGTGTTATGTGGGGTGCACATCTTTGAAGGGATTCCGCCAGGGACTGACCCCTACGGAGGCCAAGTGAGTGCATTTCTCGTCCCTTCCTCTGCCTCTGAGCCCCCCACCCCATCCCTGCCCCATCCTCCAAGACTAGTCTAAGCTTCTAGAGCATTCAAAAAAAGAAAGTGGCCATAGAGTCTTGCTGTAGGGAGGAAATACCAAACCCGGGTAGTTTTTCTTTAACTGCTTCATGACCAAGGTCCTCCCAGCCCTCTTTCTTGCCACTGAGGTCACTCCTGTTTTCTGCAGAAAGGATGAATGGTGGTGACTGCTCTGGGAGTAACAGTGCCTCATATCTTAAGAACAAACACGTGGTTGTTTCTCAGGCTTCCGTGCAGGTCAGAGCATTCCCCGGTAGCTAATATATGATTATAAGATCATGACAAGCCCCTGTGGTTTTCCGAACATGAGCCATCAAACACGGGTAGTAATTTGCTTCAACCCCAGAGAGATGCTTGCTCAAAGAAAGCATTAAGAAAGCAGGGCATCTTTCACAGTGCTTGTAATGGTTCGCTATAGTGTTTAATACACGTCTTTTCCCGCTCTTAACTGAGCCAGTGCAACTCGGAGAGGGAAGGACGCTGTATGAATGATCAAGTACCTGGTGTGGTAACTGGTGTAAAGGAGGCCCTGTCCAGTTACAGCAGAATGGAGAGCCCTGTTTGGACTTTGTGGGCAGTAACTCAAGAGCCCTTGGAGTGGAGTTCGGGTGGCTGAGGCCCTTTAGGAAGAACACCCCCGGAATACTTCAACTACCTATTCTGTTCAGAGCTCTCTTTTCACAATAAGGAAGCGAAACAGAGCCATAGGAAACAGATGATCCCTAGCTTGGTATGCTGTAAGAAGAGTAAATCAAGAAAGTCAACTTCTTTTCGGCTCCTCTGGTGATGGGTCCTCAGGGGCGGGGAAGGGCGAGAGGGACAGAAATAATAGAATGTCATTGATCAAAAGAAAATCTCACCTGCTAGAAGATTAATTTCATTCTCTTGTCCATCCTAGTTTCCTACCTCAAATCGCCCTGGTAATGCGCCCTTAGTTAATCAGCCTTCCAAGTACCTGTCTGTCTGTCTGTCTGTCTGTCTGTCTGTCTGTCTGTCTATCTAATGTCAATCTCCCTATCTATCTAATCTATCTATCTATCTATCTATCTATCTATCTATCTATCTATCTATCTATCTATCTATGTGTCTATCTATCATCTGTCTCATAAACATATATTTAGATATGCATATATGTATCTATCTTCTATCTCCATATACATATCTCTCTCTATATATATGTATCTATTTGTCTATCTAGCTATCTAACTTCTATCTCCATATACATCCATCTATCCATCTATCTATCATCTATCTCATATACATATATTTTTATATATGTATATATGTATTTATCTATCTTCTATCTCCATATACATATATATCGCTATATATGTAGCTATCATCTATCTGTTTATCCTCTCGTAAGTTTTATGACAAAGTACTTGTCACATCACAGCCTTGCCTAGTGCTTGCATGACTGCTGAGACCTCGGCTTCTTGCTGCAGCTTCAAGGCTATTGCCCTGCATGAGGTATCCAATTAGGACCTGGGCAGTTTCAGTGACAAGCGTCATCACAAGCGCTGTCTCCTGGGACACGCTCTGCTTGGTGGGGGCGACCCAGGAGATGACATGGTTTTCCAAAGCCAAATGTGTTCTGTTGGCAGCTGCTCAACCTGATTTCTGCTAGAGCATGCAACAGGGACAGCCACCTATTCTCGTTCCGTCTTCAGAGAAAATGGTCTGAGCCAGAGTGGACTCTTAAAACAGCGGAGCAACCCGTGGCTCCCAAAGTCCTGAGTGTCAAGGTTAGTGGGGGGAAGAGATCTTCAGGGGCCTTATGACTTAAAAAAAAATCCAGGAGGTAGTGGTGCGTGCCTTTAAATCCATCACTCGGAAGATAGAGGCAGGTGGATGGATCTCTGAGTTCAAGGCCAGCCTGGTCTACAGAACGAGTTCCAGGATAGCCAGGGCTGTTACACAGAAACCTTGTCAAAAAAAAAAAGCATATTTTGGTTAAAAGTTATTTCTACCTTTTTAGCTTTCCCAGAGTAGAAGAATAATGCCCCTCGGCTGTATTCCATCACCTGATGTGAAGCATCCCAAGCCCAGAAATATCCCAATAATCTCTCCACACACCCCAAAGACTCCAGCCTTTCTCCAGGGTCCACCCTACACATTCCCTTCTGGGCTGCCACAAGGCACTTTGTGTTGCCAGCGTTTGGAGGCTCAGCTTCCATCAGTGGATACAAGCTGGTGCTCAGCGGGCAGGTCGCAGCCCCATAAAACAACAGGAAGTTACTGTGGGCTCTTGAATCATCTCGGTTCTAGCTGCGGCTGGACTCGTTCACTCTGAACTTCCCGAGCCTGATATTTCCTTTCCCTGGAACACCATGCTGTCTGGAATGCCACACACAAGTTCAGAACGTCACGGTCACATAACGCACCAGTACCAAAATGGCTGTGAAGAGTCCTAGCCAGCCTTGAAAGCGTGCAAGGTCGCATGCCCTTGGTCCCCATTATGCTTTCCATGTGAAAGATCCTCATAGATCCAGGTGTCGGATGAGGGCTTCATCCAGAGCTGCAGTGTTATCTGGGGTGGGGGTGAGGGGCTTCTTGAAGCTTTAAGAGGTAGGCTGAGCAGGAGGGTCGAGGTCACTAGGGAAGGTTTCTAGGGTGGGGGGTGGGTTATTCATGACCTTTACCTGCCTATCTCTCCACTTCCTATCTTCTGTGATGTGAGGAGCAGCCATGCCTACAGGCTTCTGCCACCAGGCCGCTCTCTGTGTGAGTACGATGCCAGGCCACCATGGGAGGAACCTCCTGAAACCATCATCAGCAACAACAAATCCTTCCCTTCCTAAGTGTCCGTCAGCTACTCTGGCCTCTGTGACAAATCTAACTAATTGACGCCACCCCTCTTGGGCAATGAAGGGAACGGATCTTATTGGCTATTGAAACGGCCCAGCTCCAGACGCCCTCCGTGCTTTTCCACGCTAGACAACTTCCCCTGTCTATCACTTGCTTAGAAACAGACCACGACGTCAGACAGTGCCTGTACATTTATAGGCGTTGCATTCTCTCCGGGGTTAGTTGGAAATCGCCCCTTGGTCTGTGCATTTCTTACTTTTTTTTTTTACCTCAATGTAACACTGCCTATTGAGCCATTTTTTTTCCTTCTCCACCAATTCAGATGCAATTTAGATGCAACGTTGGTTACTTACTGCAGCCAGCCATGATTTCAAATCACTTTGTCATTTCTTTGGCTAACCAGAACCAAGAAGTCTGGGGCCTCCCCGCTCCCAAGTTAATCAGAGGAGCGTTCTTCCCTGTCCTGCGGCCACACTGTGCACTAAAAAACTTGCCGCCTGTTCTCACCAACCAGAGACCCTCAGATGGACAGAGGCCAAATCACAGCTGAGGCCCCCTGCCCAGCGAAGTACTCACCAAGAAAAACCTTCCACAAGAAGAATCTTATGAAATGTTGTTGTGTGGGTGTCCCGTTGCCCCCTGCATCCCCCAGTCCAGCCAGACGGAGCAGCCTAGGGGGGTGTGAGTGGGAATGGGGAGATGGGGTGGGTTGGGGTGGGGGGGGCGGTCAGGAGTTGGCAGGGAGCACTCATGTATCCTGTCCTGGAAGAAGCATGTTCAATCCTAGCTAACGAGTTTGGAAAACAGCAGGGCCTGAGAACAGCTCCTGATTGTGAGGGAACTGACGCTGTGTTCCCGGCCAAGGTCACCGAGGGGCTCAGCGAGCGGCTTTGAAACTCAGCCTCGCAGAAGGAACTCATCCAATGTGCTACCTGTATTTAACTGCTCCCTGTTTAATAGAACCCCCTCAACAGCACCCCCACCCCCCCAAGCAGCCGATTCTGGCTTTCCACAGCTTTTAGCTGACTTTCAAATGTTTTCCCCAAGCCAAACAGGACCTACATTGATGCTTTTCTTTCCCTGTAAGCAGAATGACTTCAAGAACTAAGAGAGAACCTAGAGAAACCATGCCACCTCTTCCGTCACCACCGCTACCCCAGCAGAGCTTGCCTGCGAAGAGAGTCACAATGGCAGAACAGCGAGCTCGCTTGCTCTGAGGGTGACACTCAGTGAACACTGGGCTCCCAATCTGTTTTCCCAGTTCCAACCACTAATGACTCTGGCATACACGGGAGCGAGTGGAAAACTTTCACAAGCCACGCTCCAAAGGTCTCGGGTAGGAGCAATTGAGGCTCCAATTGTTTTGCAGCGCCAAAGCGGGAGAGGAATGCGCATGTGCATCGTGATGTTTGCGCCAGAGGAACTGGGGTTAAACACCGTGGTCTTCTGTTTACAACATCTGCCCTACCTGGAAAAGACGGCTCTGCTCTTCAAAAGTGAAACTTGAGTGCTCCCTTGGGGTTGGAGCACACACTCTGGGGAGAGTCCCAGGGCGTTTTACAACATGTGAATTTGCGCGGAGAGCTGGATGTAACGGAACCTCACTCTGATGGATTGTGTTCTAAGCACTATGTTTAGTCCCCAGCGGTTTCGCTATTTAAGAGCACCTGAGCTTATAAGTCATGGACTCTCTTCCTCTTCCCCTTCACTTACCTACTCGCTAGAGACTATGCTTGGGGGGGAAGAGACTCCAACATTTTGGCATCTTTAGGGCTCCTGCTGGCATCCGCTGCTCAGCCCCAGTGCTCAGGAACTAAACACAAGGGTGCTTCTCGGTGCCTTACGCTAGTGTCTCCGCAACAGCGGACCTTCTCTCTGGCCGACTAGAGGGTTGACTCCTAAGTCTAGCTCTCCGCTGCTTTTCTTGAAACGAGTGTTTTGCATGGCATTGATTGCTCTGATAGACTTGCGAATCTGCCGAACGAAATACATTACCTAGTTTAAGTCTTTCCCGTGCAAACTCCCACTTGCTGGCATCATAGGGCAGCCGTTCACACTGCTCATCCAGGGGGACTTCATCGGGGTCCATTATGATTGACAGGTAGTCCGTCTTTACTTCAGAAGGAGACTGAGGAATAGAGAAAACAACTTTAAGACCCTAGTTATTGGTTACAATATTCTGCAATGTCTACTATTGTGCATCCTTTGACCAAGGGCAGAGGGTCTTCCTAGTCACACACTGTGGTGCTTTGGCCTCCGTAAGCTCATCTTTCAATCTTTGGTTCCCAGGCGGTGGACTGTTCGGGAAGCAGTAAGAGGTATGGTTTATGGGAGGAGGTGTGTCACTGGGGGTGGACTGAGGTTTAGAGAGCCCAGGCTAAGTCCAGCCTACCTCTCCCCCACCTCCCACCCCCACCCGCCTGTAACTTTTGTGTGTGCTCTCAGCTGTTCTCCGGTGCCGCCTAGCTTGGCACCATGATCATGGACTCAGCCTCAGAAATTGTTGGGCAAGCGTCCAATTAAATGCTTTCTCTGAAACATTGCCTTAGTCACGGTGTCCCTTCAGAGCAACAGAACAGTCACTGAGATGCACACACTGGCGTGCGCCATTTTTTTTAAAAGTACAGAATATTTATTCATTTCTTTCTACTAGAAAGAACATGCTGTTCTTAGGCAAATGGATCAGTTGTCAGGAGTTGCTTTTGGAGAATGATCAATGAATTCCTTCTCAAGGGTTGGGATCTGAAACCAGGGCCCGTCACCCCAGGACCGCATCAGTCTTCGAACTTCCTGCTCCTTTAACCTCAATTCAGCCTTTTCAGACTCAATCTGGAGGATAGCCATGATTTTTTCATAATTCTTTTCGGGACAATCATAGAAAGTTCGGACAATCCATCTTGATATTGGGTGCTTGTAATACTCCCAGTGTTCTGGGATGTAGCCTTCTGGGATTTCTGCAAGTTCAGCTTCACCAATAAATACATTCACCAGCGTTATGCCAATCAGAACTGGAACCCCAGTCAACATAAGGTAGAATCTCAGCAACCTCAAGAAGCGACTGTCATAGTATGAAGTAGGCTTGATGACAAACAGTCTTTTGCCATGGTCCCCACTGTGCTGCACAGGAGCGACAGTCTTCGGAAAGCTCCGTGTGAGAAAGCTTCCGACTCAAAGTCTAGAGCCAGCACGGCGGACAGACAGCGCTGTCAGCGCGGTGACCGACAGAAGCCCGCTGCAGCAGGCTCATGGCCGCCATGGCTACTCCGGCCTGGGGAGGAAGTCTGGCGTGCGCCATTTTAAAAGAACAGTTCCCTACTTTTCTGTCATAACATGACTGCAGAAACAGTAGCATCTTGAATGAATGTGCCCAGACCTCTAACGCCTTAGGTCACGTTCTGCAGCAACCACATGAGGGCTTAAAAAACAAAGAGCATTTAACACAATAACACAATTCTAAACAGACGGGAAGCTTTCCATGGCTGCTCTGGACATTTTTTAAATATATATAATGCATGCCTGCACACACACCAGAAGAGGGCACCAGATTTCATTACAGATGGTTATGAGCCACCATGTGGTTGCTGGGAACTGAACTCAGGACCTCAGTAAGAGCAGCCGGTGCTCCCAACCTCTGAGCCATCTCTCCAGCCCAGATTTATATATTTTTATTTTATGTGTATGGGTGTTTTGTCTGAATGTATGTAAGAGCACCGTGCCTGGCTCGTACCCGTGGAGGGCAGAAGAGGGAACCAGACCCCATTACAGATGGTTGTGAGCCACCATGTGGTTGCTGGGAATTGAACTCAGGACCTTTAGAAGAGCAGGCAATGCTCTTAACCTCTGAGCAGTCTCTCCAGCCCCACAAAGGCCTTTCTGTTTTCAGAAACAGAGGCTGACAGCTTCAAAGGCTGAAGAGTAAATGTAAACACATCCGGAGTCCCCTAGAGCATTGTTCAGATGTTCACATGCCGTGAACTTGGTTTCTTGGAACTACAAATCAAATCCAGAGAGCAACCAGTGTGGCAGATCCCAGAGGAGTGGATTGACAGCTGCAGTCCATCCGCAGGTTCCTTTTTTTATTAATGGACACATTTCCGGGGCTGATGACTGAGTTTCTGGGGGCAGACTCTTGGATGGGACAGAAAGGATGAGTTTTCCGTAGAAAGAATCATTGGCTGCAAGTTACATAAACTCCATTGAAACGAGGTTGGCCTCCTTTACAGTTTGCTTCCCTAACCTAGAGGAAGCATGATGGGGGTGGGGGGAGGATGGGAAGGGGCTACAAACACACGACTGCCTTTCCTATCCACCTCTTCACACCCACCGCATTCCTCAGCCCTTACCCGGCTCCGGGCAGTCACAGCTCACCTCATCCATCACTTGCTGACTATCACTCTCCATACAAAACTTATCATTAGAGTGTGGGACAAATACCTCAGGGCAGAATGTTTGCTCAGCCTCCAATCAAGGGCGCGAAAGGACAAAAGCTAGGGACCCTCACCACGGGGGTGAGGGTATAGGTGCTCAGGGGAAAAGCTCCCGGTATAGCTTTGACGACTAACTTTTTCATGTTGAAGATCACCAAGGCAATCACTAAAGAGCAGGTGAACAGCTGGAACCTAGCAAGGGACACCTTGGGTTTCTGCAGTATGGGGAGGTGTTAGGGAAGTAACAGGCGAAGAAGGAGCTTGTCCCACGTGGCTCCAATGAAAGTCAATGTTTTTATCTCAATAAGGCAGACGAGAGGGACCACCAGGCAGACCTGCAGGGGGAGTATACCAACAGATACTTATTTTTTTAAGGGACACAAGCACTGAGCAGCTACTCGGCACTCAGCACGAAGGACAACTGCCTGGATTTGACTTGTACACAGCCAAATGGCCTCCCAGGCAAGTAGCTTAACTCCCCTAGACCTCGTTTGCTCATCCGTGAAACGATGACGTCATTGAACTTATCTAAGAGGGTTGCTATGGTTACCAAATGATTGACTAACCTGTTAGAACAGGACCTGGCTTCTAGCAAACATCAATACACATCGGCCATAGTTCTAACCACTGGCTCTACCAGGTGGGGCCGAGGAGATAAAATACAGCCTTTATCAATGAGGAATTAGCACTGGGATTAGAAAAACCATGGGGACCTGCATCTTCTTTAGACTCCTTGTTCACCTGTGCCTCCTCCAGGCAAACTGTAGATGATCTCCTGCTACCACCAGCTTGTACACCGGGGAATCCTGGCAGTGTAAGAACCCTCTTAAATCCATGGTAGATCTTTCCGTTCGGTCTGCTGCTCCAGCGAGGGAGGAGAAGGTGGCAGGGTAGAGGGTGATCTTTTCCTGGTCATCCCTTCCCATTGCACTCTTCCAAGTCTACCTTAAGCATTGCTTTCCTCTTAGCCTTTCCCTTTCATGCCCTTCCCTTGGGCTACTCCAGCTCTGTTCCCTCACCAGCAGATTCGGCAGTGGCCTCATCAGGCCAAAGCAAACACTCCGTGTGCCAAAAGTCTGATGTCCTATGTGAACATGGAAGGTTGTTGTCACCTGCTTGGTCAAAAGTGACACCCCTGTATCCAAAGAGTCTCGGATGATTGGAAGCGACACCCCAGTCCCTGGCATCCTTTTTGGGATGTTTGGTCATAAATATCACCTCAGCTTCATGTCACACTCCTATATCTAAAGAGTCTGGAATGTAATATTGAGCTGGGGGCGTCACCCCTGCCCTCTAACATCCCTACATCCAAGAAGTCTAGGATGACTGGAAGCCCCTGGCCTGGCAGTTGCCCTGGCTTGGACTCTGACTCCCAGCCTGCCAAGCGCTGACCCCACCTGGGGAAGGTCAGGACCACTGCTCTAGGCTATTTAGGCTTGCACCAGAAAAGAGAACACATGGTTGTGTGTGTGTGTGTGTGTGTGTGTGTGTGTGTGTTTTCTCTGTCTTTTTCTTGCCATTCTCCCGGCCACCCGAGTGTGCCGTCTAATAAACCCAGGCGTTTGATGTGTTTTAATCTGGTCTGATTGGATTTCTTTGTACCGGCCGAGAGGCTCATTTTAGGACTTTTCCTAACACCATCATCTCTCTCATTCCAACTACCAAGAGTGCATGCCTTAAGATTTTGAATATCAGTCTGAGGTCAGACGGTCTTGGCTCAAAACTAAATTCCCGTAGTGACGTTTGGACCCATGTCATTACCTCAGGGAACCTCAGTTTTCCTCTTTTAAATGGAAATGATAATACATCTCCCTCTTTGACATTTTAGTAGGGTGATCGAAAACCCTGGGCAAGGTGTTTCCCACTAGATCTGGGACAACCATAAAGGAAAATCTCTAGAAAATGGCAGAAACCTTGCCCTTCTGAGTCCTGTCGCCACGCCCTCCTAAAGAACTCCCAACTCCAACCCTCTAGCCCACCTCTTCCTTACAAACTGCTTACTCTGTTTCCTAAGTGCTTGGGGCTCAACTCTTGCTCACTCTGGTCTTCAAGGTGAGGCTTCAAGACCAGAAAAAAACACAACCCCCTCTTTCTCCTCCCCTAACTGGAGCAGCAGTCTCTTCTCACAAAGCCACGCTTTGCTTAACCACCTCCTCTGCCCTCACAAAAGCCTTCAGCTAGCAGACTCTTTGTATCACCTCCAAAGCCCCATGCAGCTGGACTGAGCAGCCCCGTGCTGGCCCTGCCTTGTCAGCCTCAGCTCTGTTCTATGCCCGCTCCCTATAACACTATTTCCTCCGCAGTCCACACTACCCTGTCCACATTTTGGTTAGTTCTTTCCTTTTTTTCCTCTCTTTTTTCTCTTTTCTTCTTTTTGTTTCTTTTCTTGAAACAGGGTCTCCTTACGTTGTCCAGGTTGGCCTCAAACTTGCAATCCTCCTGCTTCTGCCTCCTGAGTGTTGGGATTATAGGCGTGCATCACCATGTCCAGGGTTGGTCCACTATCCCTTGCACCTACGCAGAGTTACAGTGTGACATTTGGCTGTGTGCTGGCATCCAGTCAGTCTCCTTGTAGACTACACACAGCAGCAATTGCTCTCCAAGGTCCCCAGAGAGCCCGGCAGAGGGACTCAGGCCCTGTGCCACATTAGCTCATGGGAAATAGGGCAGAGCCAGGTCAGAGGTGGTCTTCATCTCATGTCCCCTTTGATTTCTTTTCTTTTTCTGGGGGGAGGGGTGTTGAGACAGGGTTTCTCTGTGTAACCCCTGGTGTCCTGGAACTCTATAGACCAGACTGGCCTTGAACGCAGAGCAAATATGACCTGCTCAGTCTGTTTAGTGTTGCTTGTGTGTATATGATTTCAGGGCTGAGACTTGGTAGTGGATAATCAGTGAAGGGCTTCATCTCTGAGAGAGGCTAGTTCTCCCTATCTCGGAACTCCTTAGCGACCCAGAGCTCTTTGTCTAGGGATGAGGCCCCTGTGACATTAGCTATACCTATGATAGCTCAACAGCATGGCTGCCTAAGTGACCGCGAACAATGGCAACATGGGTGGACGTGCTCGCATGAAAGGGGGGGGGAGTCGTACAGCTCAGTGATCTTTCCTTCTGTGTTCTTACCCGTTTCAGCTTCCGGATGAAGAGAGTTAGAAGGAGCCAGAAGAGCGTGGCAGCCACACAGGTGCACGTGAGCGTGATCAGCTCCAGGTTCGACTTGTCCGAGGAGCCTAGGGAGAGAGAAATGGCAAAGATGCGGATACAAGGAGACCCTGAAATGACGTGCCTCTGCTTGCACGAGCTGGGCATCTGCCAGTCATCTTCTAAGACACGCCGCGAACTCACGCCCAGAGAACTTTCTAGAAATCCTGCCGAGTTTGGAAATGGTATTCTCAGAAACGGCTCATTAAAAATCAGAGGGGAAAGTAAAGACAGAGGGAAATTAAGGCAGGGAAAAGCTCATTAAAGTGCTAAATCTGGACCCCGTTAATCTCACTAATTGGCTCTAGAGGAAATTCTAAAGGAAAGAAAAAAAAAAGACATAAAAGGTCCCCTTTGGGACTCAAAAAATTCTTCAAAGCTGACATTGAAAATAAAAATAAAACCCAAGGACGGTCACAATTGCCCTAATGCTTCTTCTGGGGTAGTCACTCTCCACCACCCACAGTCTTGCTGCCTGCTTCTGGGCTTCTGACCTTGGCAGCAGATAGTACCGGCAAGAGGGAAGAGAAGCCCATGCGCCTGCCCAGTCACATCCATCCCAGGGTTAAGAGCACAAAAGCTGAGCAGTGTCCCTCCAAGACAGAGAGAGAGAGAGAGAGAGAGAGAGAGAGAGAGAGAGAGAGAGAGAGAGAGAGAGACCCAGCGCAGTCACCTGAAGCTTCCTGAAAAAAACGAGCCGCTAGTGATCAGCGAGGAAAGAGCCCACTGGGCCGAAAGGGGTTCCCTCCTAAAGAGTTCAGGGGCAAGTCTCCGGGAATTCTGAAGAAACACCTCCTTTGATTTAACAAAGGAATTTAGGGTGATATTTGTTCTCCTTAGGCACGATGGGAGGATCTGCGGGTCAGTCTCTGATCACACCCACCCCATGGATACACGACAGCAATACCATAGCTTCAAGCATCAGTACCTCACTCCGGGGTTCTTTGTCTTAATTCAACTAAGCTCTCTACAGCAGTGGTAGGTACTGGAGGAGACAGGATAATGAGTGAAGGAGCGTAAGAACATTTAAGAATCCCGTGAGCCAAACCAAGTGTCTCAGAGCAAACACGAGGTCATCGGCCTTACTTTTTTATTTTTTATCCTTTGAAAACAGGGTCTCTCACGCACGTATCCCAAGTGGGCCTCAAACTCACGTAGATCACCAAGGGTGACTTTGACCTTCCTGCCTCCACCTCTCAAAATAGAGATTATAGATGTGTGCCACTATAATCAGTTCCTGTAGTGCTGGGGACCAAACCCAGGGCCTAGGACTTGCTAGGTGAGTGCTCTACCAACCGGGCTTCATTCCTAGCCCAGAAACCAATCTTTTTAACTACTTCAGAGGTCTGAGGATATGGCTCGGGTGGTAAAGGTGTTAGCCATGCAGACTTGATGACTTGAGTTTCATTTCCTGGGATCCGTGTGCAAAGCCGGCCGTGGTAGCACACACCTGCCATTCCCAGAACTCCTGGGTGAGATTGGGGTGGGGGAGAAGCAGGGGAGACTCCCCCAGAAGCTCATGCGCCGCCTCGTGTGAAATATTCAGCATAGCGACTGAAGCAAGACAGACTGACCCTGCCTCCAAAACAAGATGGAAGGAGAGACCAACTCCCACAAAGCTAGCCTCCAATAGCCATACACGGGCTGTGGCATGTGCCTGCCACAATCAGCAAAAGAGATTTGAAAATGCGTCAGAACTTGAGAGATTCAATCCCCTCTGGTATTTTAAATAGGTTTTGACTGAGCTGCGTGGAAGCGGGGAAGAGCATCATGGGAGTGGTCATGGGGAGGTGACGTGTAGATGGCGGTGTGATGGGAGGCTCAAAAGGGATTGGAGCAGTGTGCGCTCTGAGCTTCCAGCTAATGAGTTCACTAAGTGCAATGCCGCAGGCAATTGGAGTCAGTGAGGTGCCCTGCAGGGAAATATAGCAAATCTGCTCTGGAAACCTGTGAGTGACAGCTGACCGAGCACATTCTATCCTGGGGACTCTTATGAGGACTGGCCTACGCTTACTTGCCAAGACTCCTGCCAACGCTGTGAGCTGGATTTTCTCCTTTTCTTGAGTGAGGAAGTTGAGGGCGCTGAGAGATTAAGCCTTGCCTATGAGCGGCTGGCAGCTGGTGGGGCTGCGGTTTTAAGCCAGCTGGCTAAGCCACCACGCGTGTAACGGTACTGCCACTTGCTCCTCTCCTCACGTCTTCTGAGCCTTTGAGAACCTGCTAATGGCTTCAGAGAGGCAGCGGTCTCTGTCCTGCCTGCTCGACTGTCCCTGCTCGCGAAGGTATTACCTCCTCTGTCGTCCCACCGCCACTCCTAAAGAACCATCTTCGGTCCTCGTCCACCCAGCTCTGCCTATCTCCAGTCACCCCCACTCCTTTCTAGGCCACGGATTCCACTCTGTCCTCTTCTGCCTCGGTGCTGGTGTGTGCTCTCCATCACTGCGAGGATCAAATTCAGATGGTGAGCTGGCGGGACAGCTCATATTCTTTGCATGATAAGGTCCTGGCTTCTCTGCCTAACACTGACTTTTTTTTTTTTTTTTAAAAGACTGGTTTACTTTTATTTTATGTCATGGCTATTTTGCCTGCATGTATATATATCTACCAGCATCTGGAGGCCAGAAGATGGCACTGGATCCCCTTGAACTGAAGTCACCAGATGGTTGTGACTCACCATATGGGTACTGGGTACCAAACCAGGACCTCTGTAAGAGCAGCCAGTGCTCTTAACTACTGAGCCATCTCTCCAGCCTTGTTCCCAATTTTAAAAATTAATTTAAAATTTTAAATGCTTAAGTCTTATATCTTCTTTTGCCCTTCAGTCTCACTATACATCCTCAGAGTGGGAAAACTGTAAGCCAAAATTCACGTGAGTATGGATTTCTTCAACTGCACGCACACACACAAACACACACACTTACACTTGCTTATGCTGCAAATAAGTTCTGTGGTAAGACTGGCACCTTCTGAAGACCCTGTAGTGGCCCCCGACGGCCACACTTGCTGATGGCCATAGTTGCTGTCTTCACAGGGGCTTTGCACACGTTCCCCTCATGGAATGTGAAGTCACTGACTCTCTGACTGCGAGAATTTTCCCACCGCATTCCGTGCGACAGGAAGCTGACCCCAAAGTCTAATTCCACAGGCCTTACTCAAGCAAAATTCCTGTCAGTGGGACTACTTGTGTGTAAACACATATTTAAGGAGTCAACTCATTAGGACAGCTAAGGAAAATGTTCATCAGGGGCTACCAGTGCTCCCTGCTCTTTAGAATAAATCTCAGGAATCTGGGGCATCTGTGGTCTCATGTGATAGCTCTCTCTCCTTCTACCTATCTCTTCCGTCCTAAAGAACTGACAGGCTCGGCAGGCTGAAGCCCATAGGCACTTTGTCTACACACTGGCATGGTTAAATCCAACTGGATGGTGAATGGCGATCACTTCAGTACACAGAATAGCCTAACTGCCCAGGGCCAGAGCAATGTGGATGGGACTCGATAATCATTAAGAGTGCGTACTGGTCTCGGGGGCCATCAGTTCCTGGAAAAGGACACAGTCCGTAGCTGTTTTACCTCAGGATGTCGAGGAGAATGTAGTCAAGCGTATAAGATAACTATAAGATAAGGGCGTCTTTTGTTACGGGTTCCTACTCTCTTCCACAGACAAACGCAAGCCAGCTGTCATCCCAAGCTTCCTGTCATCCCTCTGGGTGCCACTCAGCAGCCAGTCTGAATTCTGAGTGGCAGTAGATCGTGTCAAGGGTTTGCATTGGTGGTGTCTTGAGCCATTCTGGTAGCGATGGACAGCCCATTGCACACAGCCTGAGCTGCGGCACTGGCAACTCGCCTTTGCGGGACAGTTACCAGGCAGGCTTTAGGTGTTTTCACCGTAGCTAGGCATCCGCACACTAGCCTGGCACGTGGCTCTGTGTGGTCACAGCCGGCCAGCACCACAGGCCACAGAGCCATCAGCTCACAGAAGGCAACTGGTGGGTTCCCAAGAGGGAAATCACCAGGGAGTTTTGGTTCCAGAACTTACCCTGCCCCAGTGTGGAGGGGGAGGGGGTGAATGAGAGCAACTGCCACCAAGAACTGGGACGATGTCCTTGTATGAGCCTGTGAGCAGCTGTGTGGCAGACAGGAGCCTCAGTTTCTTTAAAAAATAATAATAATAATAAAGCTAACGCTGGGTGGCGGTGGTGCATGCCTTTACTCCTGGCACTCAAAAAGGCAGAGGCCAGTCTGTGAGTTCAAGGCCAACCTGGTCTACAAACAAGAACTAGTTCCAAGATAGCCAGGACTGTTACACAGAGAAAAACTACAGAAAAACAAACAAACAAACAAACGAGATAACAGGGTGCATGTGCCAACTGCTGTTAAGCATGGTTTGAAACTTCCCTCTTCTCCTTCCCTTTCTCTCAACCCCTCTGAACTTTTAAATACAGATTTAGGAGATGGCTCAGCAGTTAAGAGCACTTGTTGCTCTCGCAGAGGACCCAGGTTCAGTACCCAGCACCACAGCTCACACCTGTCTGTGACTCCAGTTCCAGGGGATCCACCACCTTCTGGCCTCCTCGGGCACCAGGCACACACACACACACACACACACACACACACACACACAACACGGATGTACATGTAGGTAATACACATGCACATAATTAGTAAGACAAAGATAAATGCAATCTCATTTTTCCTCGTCACTGTTTGGACCTCGAGTGCAGGACAGGTGGGCTGGGCTGGGTTTTGTTTTACTTTACCTCTCTTCAGTCAGGCCCACTCCGTGTACCATAGCTTTCCTTTTCTGCCTAAAACAAACCCGATGTTGACACAACTGTCCGGTATCTTTTAGAGCAACCACTTTCTCATACCTGACCAGGCCGGGTGGGTGGGTGAACGAGGGGCTCCTGCTGTTTTAATTTGAAGTAACAAATGATGTTGCAGAGATATGTTCCTTTTGTGTTTCTACCTCAGGCCCAGAGAAAGTCAATAAAGATTTATACATATGAGCACAGATTAAATCCCATTCTAAAAGGCAAAACACGGCTGCCACCGTCTGCCTCAATGGGCTTTCCCAGTCACCTGCTGGAATAGTACAACCAACCTGGAGAGCTTTGTAACAGGTTTTGACCTTTAAAAAAATTTTTAAACAATTTATTTATGTATTTTTTTTATGTGCATTGGTGTTTTGCCTGCATGTATGTCTGTGTGTGAGGGTGTTGGATTCCCTGGACCTGGAGTTACAGATGGTCTTGAGCTGTCGTGTAGGAACTGAACCTGGTTCTCTGCAAGAGCAGTCAGTGCTCTTAACCGCTGAGCTATTTCCCCAACCCCTTTCTGGTGCTTTTTAAGAATCTGTAAAGACCAATTTGGACCTTCTCTTCTGGACTGTGATATGTTGATCTACTATATTTGGATTCAATTGCGAGCACCTTTTGGAGAGGAATGAAAAAGCAAACAATTGAAATTGCAATTGGTAACATTTTTCTCTGTAACAAATTGTTATCACAACAAAGCTAGTCCTTAAGCCAACCAGGAATCTGTGGTTTGGGACACCATCCGGGTGACTCACAGTAAACTAGGGAAAAATATGTAGTACTGAAAGCTTGGCTGGAGTAGAGGACCACATTAACCAACACTAATAATAACTAATCCTTCAGATTTTACCATGACACATTCTCCTCATCCTGTAACAGCCCGGGAAGGGCTGCCCAGCCACTGTTCACATCCCCACCTGGTGCTGCAGAATCCCAGATGCTAGGAAGGGAGGGAATTTCTCCCAAAGTGACTCAGCTCCTGAAACGCCCATGGCTGAGATGACTCCCACCTGCCATGTGACGGGAGACACAGCAGAGGACAGAGAAGCAAGCATTTCAGATTCTCAGCTCTGCTTCCAAGCCTACTGGCCCTGTGATATTATTTGGCCTCCCATGGGCTTTACTAGGCTCTTATTTCCAATAACACAACCTTCTCACAGGATTGCTGCAAAATGTAAGTAGGGAGTGGGGTTGGAGATGGAGAGGGGGCTCAGTGGCTAAGAACACTGGCAGCTCTTCTAGAGGACCTGGATGGGATTCCCAGCACCTACTTGTTGGCTCACAACCATCTGCAACTCCAGTTCCAGGGTCTCTGATGCCCTCTTCTGGCCTCTGCAAGCATTGCATGCATACAGTGCATAGTCACATGTGTAGACAAAACATTTATGTACATAATAATAAAAAAAGAATTAAGCAGACTAGTGTATGCACACTTAACACAGTGTACCACGTGCTTGATAAGACAAGATATAACTGACAGGCCCAGGCCTTTCCAGGGCCCAACACCAGGTTAATGATGTCTGGGATATACTACTCATGTCTGCCCGGTTTCCATGAGAAGAAATGAGATGGGAATGTTTGAGGTCTAATTATTTTGCTCTAAGAACTATCTACAAAGGTCTTAACTCACCCTAGCTGAACTCTGGTACCATTTTTAGAAATCTCTGCTAAGGTAAGGTTTATTCTATAGTTTGGAGATGAAAGTTTAAAAGAGAAAAAAAAAGTGTGTCTATTTAGGGCCCTTAGTCTCCTGTGTACAATTAGGAACAGGTCATTTATCTATTTGAGTATGGCTTGTTGGTTGTGACACTCCTGAAAATTCCCAGCATCTATGAGATGAGAAACATGAAGGCCCAAGTTAGTTTAGAATTCAGGAAGATGGGTGGACAGGCCGCACGTCAGAGGAGCCGGGAATGGAGCACGGACCACGGTGTAGAACACAGAGACACATGTTTTGTTTTGTTTTGGTTTGGTTTTTTGAGCTATTTTTATTCTTAAACCTCGGGATCTAATTAGGGGATGTGGTCCTTGCTTCTTATGGTGTGGGTTCTGTCTCAAGCAGATGCGAGTGTGCGGTTGCTGTGACCCATGCTTGCAAACCGTGACGACACGTCTGGCACTTAGGCTGCGGCCCCTTTGAGTCTTGTCACAAGCCACTGGTCATCTTTAACAGATGCTTCTAATGGTATTCATTCTCTGAGGGGCTTTGTCCTATGCACAGTAACGTCCTAGGGTACAGTAACGCCTAAGAAACTTTTTTTTGTAAGAAAAGTTCTTGCATGGAATATCGCCATTGGCCTCCTTAAGAAGGGTTAGAGCTTAGGTTAAGTCTCTGATTACAAACGGGCCAAACATGTTAATTTCAGAAATGATCTTGATTGCTAACACCTTGACTGTGGTCGCGCCACTCGTGTTCAAGGTCTAGTCCAAACCAAACAAAACCCGGGATTATTTAAAGAAGCCACTTTGACTCCACAGTTCATTTATCCTTTTCAGATACAAAAATAACACATTGTTTTATCTCTGAGTATTAAGACTCCTCTTTCAAAGGAAATAAAACGAGCAGACCGCTTCCTTCCTGACTGATTCCTGAACCTCTTTAAAATCTGTTAAACATAGCCACAGACACAACCCATGTGCCTAGATTTCCTAAACTCAACGGGACAAGATAGGAGTATACCAGGAAACCACGTCCGCAGCTTGGGGATGCTTCAGTGCCCCTCAGGGACGTGAGTCATGCATTCAAGGGCGAGAATCCAAGTTCAGTGATCAGATGATCTGCAGATAACTGTGGTCAACTGCTCTGAACTGTTACGTGGCCACATGAATTTAGGCAGCTCAGTATACTTCAAGAAAACGGACCTTCTCATAAGTGCAGGCTTCTCTGAGTTCTGTGTACTGTCAACCTGCCAACTGCCTCTGTTTCACATTCTCGCCTTCTACAGAGCTGACACCTACACCCCGAAACCTCACCCTCTATGTGAGAGGCTTTGGAGAGCTGGCGCAGGCAAGTGCTGGGCCACAGATGTCATAAAGCACAAGGCCATGTGACGTGGCTCCCCAGAAGCCCAGGCTATCCCGGGAAGATTTACAGCTGGCGTGCATGCTCTTACTTCACATCAGGGTTTCTCTCAGAGCGCCAGCTCTGTAGCCTCTGCAGGCCATATTGCCCACTAGAGAACCTGGGAACAGATGCTCAGCAAGGCAAAGCAGCCCTGTGGCGGGCTGAGGTGAGTCTCTGGAGAAAATGAACTTTCTTCACCAGGGCTGTCACTGCCTAGCTGTGAGAGCCAAGTTACCGCATCCTGCCTCTGGGAGCTTCCTAACTGCTCCACACACCCAGGTCGGTTATAGCATCTTAGGGTGAGGCTGAGGGCACCTCTTGTTTTCCTGCCCTGATAGAGCTGCTGCAGTAGCCACACCTGATACCCACGCCAAAGATGGAGGAGAAAGGAGCTGTGCAAGTGAGATGCTTGCTCAGTCCCTCTTGATGTGTGGCAGAACTGGAAGGCTCACTTAAAACAAGGAAGATCTGGAAGGCAGAAGACCATTCCCTCAGGCTGTTTGGGGACCGCTGCCCTCTTTCTGGACGTATGGATTTGTGGTAGGCTAGCTTCAGCCATTCTTCCTGCCTGGCTTCTCCCGAGAAGCAGCCACACACTCTCACGCACACCGCTGTGCACTGTGGAATGGCTACTGAACACATTCCATCTTTCCACGTTGGATCTCAACATGCCACTCATTCACTGATGTCGGGATCTAAGAGGCGCCAATGCACAATGCTCCGAGGTTGAAAATTCTAGGGTTGGCACAGTTCTTAGCATGGGAAAACTGAAGCCCGGGTTGAAACTGTTTGCCAAATGGAAACCACATGACTGCAGGCAGGGTAGGTCCCAGCTACTGTGTGCTGTGCTCTGCAACAGACTCCCTGGGTTCCAGGAAGCGCACAGAGCAGTCTCTGAGGTGTGAGCTGTTCTCTATGTGTTGCTTCTGAGACTATTTTGTGTCTCTGAGACTATTTTGTGTCTCCTCATGTTAAAAACCAGCTAAGGAAAAAGTAATTCATGTTTAATTTCTAGGACTCAGAAAAGGAGGTGGGGTAGAGATGAACAATTTCAGAGGGCGCCTCCCCCATTTCCTTTCTTCCTGGCCTTATTTCTCACAGATGTGGACCCCTAGGGGCATTGTGAGTCACATCGTCCCACAGTGTCAGCACGCCAGGCTCCCTTCTTCCTGGAAGTACTTCCCTTGCTGAGAATGCTGGGCTGGGGGCTCCTGAGGACAGCCACCTTCTGCTTCCAGACAGAGCCAGAGTGTCAGTAGTGTCCAGGACAGAGAGAGGGGTAGGGAAAGGAGCTGCTGGGATGCCAGAGGAGACCAGGAGGTGGGAAGTTAAGCCCGCAGGGAAGCAGGTGTCCAGAGTTTTTACCTTGCACGGTGAGGTAGGCTGAGCTTTCCACGGAGCCCTTCTGGTTGGTGGCCCTGCACCTATAGACACCTTCATCCTCTTCTGTGACTCTTTCGATAAACAGCGTGCTGTTTCCTGGTCCTAAAATAATTCCTGGGGGAGAGAGAGAGATGTTTAGATTAGCGGCTCCGGAGGACAAAGAAACAGCTGCAGGAAGCCCAGCACCTTCCTATCCTAGGATCTCAGAAGACGTTCTGTGCTCTGCCTAACTCCGGAGCAGGTCATTCGCTCGCTAGCTAACCAGCATCTGCCCCACGCCTGCCCTGTCCTGAGCCAAGCGCTCTGCAGTACCCTAGCCACAGCTTGATGCTTCTAAACACTTAGAAGGGGCTGTCCTGTCCCCTGGCACTGATAAAACAGAGACTCCCCAGTATTAGGCAATATGATCAAGAAGAAGCAGTGTAATCCACAGTATATTAGTGGAATAGGGTCCTTTGCCATGTGGCTTGTCATGTGCTATAACATGGGAGTAAAGAGCTTAGGCTAGCTGTGTTTAAATCCACACTTTAGCCCTCTAGACAACTTATTTACTCTGTTTTATTCCCCCCAGTATTGATATAAGATGAAAGCCATTCCCACTCAATATATACGCATTGTGGTAGTGAGTGCTTGGTAGATGTAAGTACTTAGTATTCAGTACACCACAGGCTGGGGTAATGGAAGTTCTCCATTACCAGGGGGAGTTTCCAGACTCCCCTGAAAGGCTCTGAGACACAGGCATCTACACCAAGTACTGTCACCGAGTATTTACTTGGTATGGATCTCCCATCAGTCCGAGTCTGGGGAACAGACAGCCAACAAGAACGCGAGCTAGTACCTCAGGAAGGCTGCATGGGGAGGAGGTGGCCCTTGAGTGGCAGCCTGAAGCACTGTCAGGCAACTCCCTTACTCCAAGGCTATTTTATTAGTCTTCCCTCTGTCTTCCCTCCCAATTAAACCTAGGGACTGACACCAGCACTCGGGCACTGAGCGTTCCCCTGCCCCTTTAATCTTTTCGAAACTAGACTTTTGAAGAAGTAATTTGTTCATTCCTATAAAAAGCCCCTTTTTATGCACCAGACAGCTTTAGATACTGGTGAGACCATAGGAGGCACACAAGTCACACACCCTTGCTTCCAGAAGCTTCCCAGTCTAGTTTACAGCAAAGCCTTTGAAGAGAGCAAGAGGAAGGAGGGTCAGAGGAGGCTTTGCAGACAGGGCCAACAGGGACAGCTCTTTTCAGAGGTGGCTTCTGAGCAGGGCCCTGCAGAAAGAGTGTTGTTCTTGCAGAGGACCCAGGTTCGGTTCCTAGCATCCACATGGTGGCTCATAATCATCACTAACTCCAGTTCCAGGGGAGCCAATGCCTTCTTCTGACCTCTGTGGGCACCAGGCATGCATGTCATACATGTGCATACATGCAGGCAAACACTCAGAAACATCAAATAAATATGTCTGAAAAAGAAGAAGAGGAGGAAGAAGACCTCTGTGGCCAGTGTGCAGTAAGCAAGCAGAAGAGAAATGGCGGGGACCCAGACCCTGGCTCTCCTGTCCCTAGGCATCATAAGGATTAAGGCTTTGTTGTGTTCTCCACTGCTCAAAAGCCACTAGAGAGAGCCAGAGAGAGGGCCCAGCAGTTAAGGGCATACGCTGCCTTTCCGGAGGACCTGGGTACAATTCTCAATACCAACCAACGTCAGACAGCTCACAACTGCCTGTAACTCCAGTTCCAAGAGGTCCCAAGGCCTCTCCTAGATACACTCATAACATATAAAATACACTTACATCCATCTAAAATAATAACTCAATCTGCTGGAGAGCTGAGTGTGGTGGTACACTCCTGTAGCCCTCACACGTGACAGGGAGAGATAGGAAGATTAGGACCTGAAGGGTTAGCCTCAGCTACATAGTGAGCTTGAGGCCATCCTGTGCCACGTGATCCTATTTCAGAAACACAAGCAAGCAAATCAACAAAACCACCCTCGGCCAAAACCACCCACTGCAGGATGGACTGGGGATGTAGCACAGTGCTCGCGTGTTTTCCTTACAAGAACAAGGTCCAGGCTCCCCGGCATCACAAGAAAAAAAATGAAACAGAGGACATCAGCCATCCCGTGTCATGGGCAGAGGCAGACATGGAAAGTGGGTGGCTGGTGGGAGGAGTCTCCTACTGAAAGGCTCCTACTGGAGTGTTGAGGCCATAGGAGAGACCCACTTTGGTTGGTTAGTTTGTTTGTTTCTGAAGAACCAATCCGCCTGCTTATGGATTCTGTGTGAGGAAGGGCAATGAAAAGCTGGCTTCTAAGCCAGTGGTGTAGACAACTGGGGTGTGTAGGAGAGTGAACAGGGGATGCAGTCAAGAATTCTGGCGGTTTCCATACACTGTAAGGTCAAGATGGTTACTGCACATCCGAAGGGAGGATTCACCTGGAGCACAGGGAGGTGGGGGGTCAGGACTTGAAACCCTGTGGGCTCAGCACTGAGAAAGCAGTTGAGTTCAAAAAGGCTGCAGACAAATCTCGTGGGCTCAGCCAGAACAGAGGGAGGAGTGAAGTGTACAGCCCTGAGAACTGGAGACTTCAGAGCAGGGGAGGGAAGTGACCGAGGTGGGGGCAGGGAGGAGCCCAGGAGGGGACCAGAAAACCAGGAGACCTCTGGAACCGACAAAAGACATTTTCTCACAGGCGGCGCTGAGCTGTGCTCAGAGAGCCTCAGGAAGGAAGCTAACCACCCACTTTAATGAAGTGTAGAAGAAAGCCCGACCAAGGTCACAGAAAGAGACAGGGGGGGGGGGTGACCGAGTGGAGACAGCGAGGAGCTTCCTTTTTAGTGAGTGTCTGCACAGCAGCGTGGCTGGAGAAGAAAACGCTTTAGGATTTGATTTTCTTCTAGTCTACGTGTGTGTGTTGCCCGTGCATATGTGTGTGCACCACGCATGTGCAGTGCCCACAGAGGCCAGGAGCAGGGGTAGAGTTCCCTGGAGCTGCAGTTAGAGATGGTTAGGAGCTGCTAAATGGGTGCTGCAAATCTAATCTGGGCTCTTGCCAGTGTACTTAACCAATAGCCATCTCTACAGTCCAAGAAAGGAACTTAAAAAAAAAAATTTTTATTTTCTGTTTTGAAGAATGAGGGGAGGGGGTATGTGCAGGAGTGCAGATGCCCAGGGGGGCCGGAGGCATCAGATCCTTCGTAACTAGAGTCCCAGGTGTTTCAGAGCTGACTGGTGTGAGTCCTGGGAATCAAACTGGGCTCTTCTGGAAGAGCAGTTTCTTCCTGTTCTTAACTGCGGAGCCTTCTCTCCAGCCCAGATATTCTTTCTCAAGATGCAAAACTTTACGTCATTTTTATATGCTGACAGAAATAATCTGGGAGAGAGCAGGGTGTGGGGGTGTGGGGGTGTGGGGGTACGGGTACAGAGCCCAGATTAGAGTCCAACAGCTCAGGTGGCCTGGGAAGGATGGGAAGGAGTGGGGCAAGACTGTCGGTTTCTTATTTCCTTCCTTCCTTCCTTCCTTCTTTCTGGAGACAGGTTCTTGCTAGCCAGCCAAGGCTGGCCTTGAACTCATGATCTTTCTACCTACACCCCTCGACTGCTGGAATTACCTTCCTTCCCATGTCTCCCAACTGCACTTCACTCCACCTCAACTTCACATCTTTTTTGACTATTGTCGCACATATACAAAATATATAATAATTACATATGTAAGTGGATGGATATGTGAATACAACCTGCCGAATCTGTCCATGTATATACATGGTCATATATACACACATATATGGACACACATACACACACACTTATATACACATATATATGTTTTCAAGGCTGACCATTTGGTGTTGGGTGACCAATTAGGTTTCTCTCTTTAGCTCTTCATCTAGGGATGGGGCGCCCATGAGATGTTCCCCATTTGCGTGGGCATGCCAACTGGCAAAGTCATTGTCATTTTCTTGATTAACGATTAACATTGCCTTGTGTTGTATAGGAAAGCAGGCTGAACAAGCCAGTAAGCAGAACTCCTCCACAGTTTCTGCTTCAGTTCCTGCCTCCGGTTCCTGCCTTGGCTTCTCTCAGCGATAGATTGTGGCCTGCCAGCCAAATAAATTCTTTCCTCCCCGGTTGGTTTTGGTCAGTGTATTATCTCAGTACCGGACAGGAGGCTAACTAGCTCAACCGGACAGCATCGTAGAAGGGAGCGATGGACCATTTTATCTTTCTGTACCACTGTTGAGCAGCGCCGTGTAAAACAAACAAGAACCAAACCGTCCCGCTGCTGCAGTGGGCGACACAAGGATGCTCCATTTGTGCTCTCTGAACTTTCCTCCGTGGGTGTGTGCTTCGTCTCTTCCCCAAATTCCTGTTCTGGGTGACTGGCAGATTGGGGGATGGGGGCTCTGAAGTCAAGAGTGGTTCTAACCCTGGCTCGGAGAGGAGGAGGGAGGCCTGCGGATATTTGACTGTGGAAATGACATCATGGAAGTGGCATTCGGGGGAGTTTAGTCTAGCAGAAGGCAGGACAGGCTGGAATGAGGAAAGAGCAGCATGGGGCAGTCCCGGTTCCCTACTTGAAATTCAGACAAGGGGTGGTAAGGCCTACACTCACCTCCATCCCCTCACCCGGGCCACCCCCCCCCCCCCCCCCCCCCCCCCCCCCCCCCCCCCCCCCCCCCCCCCCCCCCCCCCCCCCCGCCCGCCCCCNNNNGCCTGGATCAGAGGAGGGGAAGAGGAGAGGGAGGAAAAAATGGAAGTGCATACTGGGAAGGAAAAACCTGCAGGAACTGGTGCTTTATTGGCTAAAGCAATAGAAGGAGATGAACCCAAGGTGATACCAGTATTTTAAGCCCAGATAAGAGGAATTCAGTGTTCTTCACAGAATTCTCCTCTGTGACTCTGGCTAAGTTCACAAGCCCCTTTGACCATTGTTTTTTCCTCTGTAAAATGAGGGTAACACTGTCTTTGCGTCGTAAGCATTGCAAAACCAGGAAGAATAGATATGGGTGAAGAACTGGCAGAAGGTTTGAGGGGTGCAAGTTTGGAAGTGCAGCCCAGTGGTGGAGTACTTACCCAGCATGCCCAAGGTTATGAGTTCCATCCCCAGCAGCAAGGAAGCGGA